CCACTACCATACCTCGTCCTTCCTCTTCCATATTTCTCATGAATATTATAATAGAATTTCCATTCCACTTTTCCCTTCGCTCTTTTCGTTAAATGTAACGAGGGCAGTGCTGGGGTGATGGTCTACGGGGCATGAAACTGTAAATCTTCTAAATACCGGCTGCATCTGAGAGATATTTAAATGGTTGTCCCTTCCGCTGTGCTTGTAACGCCATTAAAGGCTTGCAAAACACGATATTGCTGCGCTCTGGCGAACTGGAATGCGACCGCGATGTGATGAGGAGGCTAATAAAAAAAAGTCATTTTTCATAAATTTTCTGTGCCCTCGCCCTTTGCTGGCTCGTAATTCTTTTCTCTTCCAATCTCTGGAGGTCGCTGTCGTTATATTCACACCGTTTCATCTTCGTTTTATTCCTTTTCAGCAGGCCTCTTATCCCTCATCTCCCCCTCTTTGCAGCTTAATTCCCCCCACTCCCTCCCCTTCACCACCACCATTCCGTCGCTACCGGCTTCTTTCACCAACCCCGACAGTTTTTCGTTGCGCGCCAAATATGACCACTAAACTCGGCAATAGTGTCGGCCTTGCTCTGATTTGAACAGCGCCGCCCTGTCAAGGGCGTAAAGGCGTCGTAAAAACGGGGCATCACGCGACGTAATAAACCTCAAGTGATAATAAAGTCATACTCTGCTGCTCGGTAAGTAGAAATCAATGCTCCTTACTGCCGCTCAAGCTGATAGCAGGCCGCAGTGCTGCTAGTCTATTTGCATGCGTGCGTCGCTTGGAAAAAGGGGGAGGGGAGGGAGAAGGGGCGGGTACACTTTATTTAGGCTCTCTAGCAGGTTTAGAAAAAGCTAGTTGGCAGTTGGGATTTTTTTAAAATCTTCAAATTAGCATCAGATTCAAGTGCATTTAGCACACTTGGGAAAACTGTTGCAATTGTTGGTGTAGAACTAAAGAGTTCTACGGTAAGAACTGGCGAACTAAACTAAAGAGTTCTATAGTTCCTACTGGCAAACCTTATGTTCTGCAGTTCCAACTTGCAAACTTTTAGTTCTGCAGTTTAAACTGGCAAACTACTACACGCCAAGATTAGCAGAGCTTAGTGTTCTGTTCTTCACTGAAAGTTACTTTATGTAACAACTTGTATGTGTACAACAGTTATATTCATAATTTTACGTTACCGTTGTTACACAAAGTGGTGAATGAAACTAGAATTCGTGTCAGCTGTTACACTGCTAATAATTCTGCTCGGGGAGCATAGCTCTATATTTACAATCAACAAAAATAATTTTGTTACACACAGTATTTGTGTCACACCAGTAACTGAAAGTAATTTGTATAAAACTGTTACGTAAAATAATTTGTACACCCGAGCTTTGTCTTAAGTTACATAAAGTGATTTTCAGTGTTAAATCGTAAGAAACGCTCTTTCTAGGTGTATCTTCCAGTCTATTGGCGAAAGGCACTGAAGTCCAATGAATTGCAGATAGAGTTGTGAGTGAATGGTGGTCAATGATCGGGATCCTAAAGTGCGGCTACATGTTTGTGACTGAGCGAGCCGAGTACGGGAGAGAGAGGAGGCGAGCGGTCAATCGCGACACGGCCAGCCACTCAGCAGTGGAGAGCCGCTCTGCAGAAACGAACTGTACCGTCCTCCGCTGACAGGCCCGACCAGACCGGTATGCTATTGCAGTCGCTCCGAGCCACCTCAGCTATACGAGGCGAAATGTCAATGGGGGTGGCGTACAGCTCGCGTGACCTATGGAAGTGCAGCCTCATCAGGCTGTGTGTGAAACTATCTCGCACACTGCGCAAATTACACAAAAAGTACAGCAGTTTTGTTGCGATTCCTAATCCACCCAATTTGCACGTACAATTACCAATTCTACAGAGGGACACTGGAAAATCAAAGGTAAGACTCGAAGGACTTAATGCCTTTACAAAGGCATTAAAAATTGGCATCCCTGCAAAGGCATTAAAACTGCCAGAAGGTGTTGAAATATAATGCCTTTGGACAATTTCGTACCTTTGCAAAGGCATAAATTTAACACCCCTAGAAAGACATTAAGTCCTACCTTTGTTTTTCCACTGGAAAGAAAAGTGTATGAGTAGCCTCATGATTCACTGGGGCACCTCATACGTGACCGTCACGTCTCACTCGCCAGCTGCAATTTCTCTCTCTCGCTTTCTGTTTCTCGTGCTTTCGCCAGATCACCAGAGCGAGATGGTGGGTAAACCTCTGCCACGGAGAGCGGAGCCCCAGAGCGGCCAAAGCCCCATAACTTTTGACCGCGGTGAGTCGTCCCCGTCGTCCCCACCCCGCCACGCCACATTCGGCGCACGCCGAAGCGACACGGGTCGAAAAATAATTGAATACAAGTTGGTCTACCTTTGATGTGGAAAAGCATCTGGCGGCGCGCGGCGCGGCCGGCAGCAGGCTTGGCGCGCTTGGTTACTGACCTGTTGAGGCGCGCCGGGCGGGGCGGGGCGTGTCCGGGAGGTCAAAAGCCTACTTACTGCAGCAAAGGGTGGGGCGCCGAGCTAACGGCTTACGGTCCCGGAATGGAGTCGGGCCCCTTAAAAGGGCTCCAATGCCCTTTCTGTGGGGGTTGCGTTGGGTACAGGACGGGCGCCACCGGGCTACGCAACGCGCGCATGTTTTTTTTCTCCCCCTCTTTTTTCTTTTCGCGTGTCTGAAATAAGGGAGTAAAGATTTCCGGCGCAGAGCAGGGTGTTGCGAGGCGTGGCACGGCAAAGCGTGTGGCGGGGAGTAGTGTGGCCGCCAGTGGTGGCGTGCAGACCAATAAACGAAATAAAAGTAAAAATTGAGAACACTATCAGCCTAAGTGTTTTACCTGAAAAACTCTGACAAACGTTTAGCTGTTTACCTCCGCTTGGTGCACTGGCGACGTAAGTATATTCGTTTTAGATCAGTCGGTCTGAGAAAATATTATAAAATGTTTACTACTCGTATAGTGTCAAACCGATATTATTTGCACAAGAAGAGACTGGGGATTTATCATTTTTGGGATGGGCAAACATTGATGGGTTCTACGTCACATCAAGAATAAGAATATATCAACAAGAACATAGGCTGCCAAGGGCCTTGCATTGTAGTCCGCTCCCGAGCCGGCAGCGATCGGCGACAAACTCGGCCGCCCTAGAACAATTGACCTCTGCCCTGTGCTAGGGTGGCCCACGGCAAAAAAATTATCAGACCGGCGGTTAGATATTAAAGATCGAAATGACCCATGCTCTAGGCATTCCAAAACCGCCCCGTTCGTCCTGATCGGACCCCGGGAACCACTTACTCAACGTCTTTGCATTTTGACCTGGGTTTCTTATGGGCTTTCGGGTGTAAAATAGAAAAGCGACCCTGTAGAGTCCATAAGTCACCATAGAGCAATATAATTATGAAATTCGTAATCTACGTTAAAAACTGAATCTGGCATTATAGCGGTCGTTACTGTACCACCTAGTACCCAGATTTGCTACCCCTCATAAATCTCCATATTTTGAAATGAGTGAAAATTCAAAGCTCAGCAAGTCTGGGTACTGAGTGGTACAGTAACGAACGCTATATTGCCACATTCAGTTTTTAGCGTAGATTACGAATTTCATAATTATATTGCTCTATGGTGACTTATGGACTCTACAGGGTCGCTTTTCTATTTTACACCCAAAAGCCCATAAAAAACCCAGGTCAAAATGCAAAGACGTTGAGCGAGTGGTTCCCGGGGTCCGATCAGGACGAACGGGGCGGTTTTGGAATGCCCAGAGCATGGGTCATCTCGATCTTTAATATCTAACCGCCGGTCTGATAATTTTTTTGCCGTGGGCCACCCTAGCCCTGTGCCTCTCTACTGAATGCACGACATTACAAACATTCTGCGACACATTAAAGTTATTAATATTTAGTTTCTGTATGAAATGTTTTAAATGCATCAACTGCTAAGAATACCACAAATAAAGACTAAAACAGCTGTTTATTTTTCCAGTCAAACCGTGGAGGAAAACATTGAAAAGTGCATGCTTTTGTCAGTTTAAAACTTCTTATACAAAGTTTTAAGGGTTGGACGACAGTGAAATGTAGAACAGTAGCATGGAGTGGATGTGCCTGTGCAAAAGGGTAAGGAGGGGGACTAATTGCAGTCCTTCGTGATCGGACAGCCAGCGACTCGATAAATAATTTACAGCCCCCCCCCCCTCTTCTCTCTCTCTGGCCCTCCCTCTCTCTCTCTCTCTCTCTCTCTCTCTCTCTCTCTCTCTCTCTCTTTCTCACTCTTTCTCGATCTATCTCTTTCTTAGTTCAATAAATAAAAAATAAAACCTCCCTATTTTGATGGCCGGCTTACCGGCTGATTTTACGAGAAGAGGGAGAGAGAGAGAGAGAGAGAGACCGATCGAGGTACAAAAGCGCCATTCTCTCCCACTAACGGTCGCTGCTGCGCGTGCCTTGCTGTTCTGCAGCAGACGCTGACGCCAGCGCGGCGGCGGGGCGCAGCAGGGCGCGGCGGCGGCGGGGCCGTTTGATGCAGGCCGGGGTGGGGGCCCCATTTGCATGTATCGAGAACTCTAATCACTCGAGCGTCGTGGCGCGGCGCTGCGCACCGCCTCCCTCGAGGCCGCCTTTATAGAGAGCGTCAGTCTACGACAGCAAGGGCTGACCTCTGTTATTGCCCTTCAGGGGCCTGGGCCAGCTGGTGCTGCTGGTGCAGGCAGTTGCCCCGTAGGGCCAATCGTGTGTGCCGGTGTGCGTCCCCCGATTTAAAATACTCGCTTGTCGTTAGCTGTATGCGAAAAACGCTATTGATAATACAGAAATATATTTCGCTGATGTGGCAAAATCTAGATGAATGATTACTAGACTTACATTTGTAATTGATCCTTTGATTTTTCAAGAATATATGTATTGATTCAAGTAATATGCACTTCAAAAATAAAGGGGGGCAAGTGCTTGATCGAAGAACTCGGTATTTGGGTGCAGACTTGCTACGAATCCAGTTGCAACAGCAGGTCTAGAAAAATTATTGTCTCTCCGTGCGCTACGGAGCGCGGACCCGCCCGGACCCCTGACCTGCTCCTTTGCGAGCCTGGCCCGCCCCCTCGCCCAGCCCGGGCTCTGTGCTACCTCAGGGTGAGAATGTACATCACGGCGGCCGAGACATCGGAAAGCGCTTGGGAAGCGCCGCACCGGCTGCGGCCCCGCGCTGCCGAGAGAAAGAGAGAGAGAGACAGAGACAGAGAGACAAGGACAGCGCTATGAAAAGTTAAGGCCCAGCGGGCGGGCGTGCAATGTCGCGCACATGCGCCCCAGCTCTGCACATGCAGTGCAGTGCATGAGGATGGCGCGCCCGGCTATTGAACCCCCCAGTAGTGCTTGCTAGCTTGCTTCTCATGCCGCTGCTCAGAGGCCTTATTGGCCAAACTCAAAATATGACTTGAACAACTCATCATTCATCTTCTTGCCTAGCAGAAATGGCGCGTGTGGGGGGAGGAGAGAGGAGGGTGTATAATGTGTTAAGGCATTATTTCAAGTATTCCCGTAAATCTACGAACACTTTTTGACACGGTTATTTTATTTTTCGTGCCTCATCCACGCCTGCCGTTCGCTGTCTCGCGCTGTCTCTCGGCGTGAGGTGTGCCCAAGGACGACATGGGCACGTCCAGCTCGTAGGGTGGAGTGGACGGTCTGGAAGTAGTCAGCAGAAAGCGCCATCGATTTTATCATTAGAGCGACCCGAAACTGTCGCAACTTTGCTGTGTGCGTACGTATTTGTGTGTGTGTGTGTGTGTGTGTATGTGTGTGTGGTCAGTCACTTTTCCCGTTTGTTTGCGACGCCATTCTGCTGATGTCCTGCGGAGGGTCAACAACAGTTGTGGAGAGAATCATCACTTTGTCATTTCCCGCGCGAAGCCCAAAGTATCGCACCGACGTGTGCGCACACTGATCGACTCACGACGTGTATAGGTACCCTTACGCTGGGACTTACCCGGGTAGAGCAGCACCACCAGCCAGACCTGCAGGAGCGCGATCCACCTCTGGCGGTGCTGGGGGGCCGTCGCCATGGTGCTCGTCGGGTCCCGCCTCAGGACATGGCGTCGGCGCGTCCTCGCCGGCTCACATCGTCGGCTTTGCCAATTGTACCGTTAATTTTGTTAACGTTATCTTTGTCGAAAGCATGCCCAAAGGCAGCGGAGAGTTCGTCTCGGGGGGTAATCCTTGTGATGAGTGGTGGTTATGGCGCCAGGCATCCGGTCGGCGTCATCTGGAACAGAGTACAAGGGCGGGTCAGGCGCATGGGTGGGCATTGCCGAGGGCTTATTTCACTGCTTTTGTTTGCTACGCTACTGTGTACTCCTGCTCGGTGCGGAAGCTGCCTTCTCTGAGGGCTGTGCTGTGTCTGTCCCTCCGAGAGGACCGACGACCAGTTGTTGTAACAAATTTTCAGAAAGTTTGCAAAATAAACGAGGGGAAAAAATATATTGCTAATTGGCTCATGGCCACAAACCCAATCAGTGCGCAATTAGGGAAGGGAGATTGAGTCTGCCCCTGGCAGAGACGAAGGGACAGAGGCTTTGGTGATGAAAAAGAGAGCGGGGGAAGAAAACGAGGAGAGAAGGGGAGGGAGTCAAAGATGCGACGAATCTCCATCACAATGCTTCTCTTTACTTAGCGCGACAGGGCGAGCCTCTGACATGCCTGTCCACGGGCGGACGCTGTCGTCCACCACTTCAGAATTCCCCCCTTCTTGATAGACCGAAGGAGGAAAAATGTCCTGCCTTTCCATCGTTCACACGAGTGCGTGCGCATATATCGTAGAAAAAGAAGAAAAATTGTTGCCAGACTTAAAAACGCAAAGAAACGTTCGAAAAACGTATTTTCGTAAGACTGAATTCAAAATCACGTCAGTGCCGGCGCACAACTACCACCCCGTATAATTATTGACCTTTTTGTAGCGTTCGTTATTGAATTGGAGTACCCGCGGGGCCTAATGACCTGGCGCCCTGCCAGGCGATATCAAATAACCCCTCCTCATCCTCTTCCCCTGGTTCCGCCCTGGTCCTGTCCTAGGAGCGCCCCGGCCCTGCCCCCAGTCAGTAATGGCCGTGTTCGGCGGAGGATTAGCGCCCTTATTAGCCCTCTTAATGAGAGGCGCGACCATACGAGCGACAGCTTATCAACTACACTGGAAACGCAAGTGTATGATTGTCTGCTTCACACTTGTATGTGTGTAGATGATCATTCGCACACTTGTAGGTGTGTGGACGTCTATTTGTACACTTGCAGGCATGTGGAAGCCCATTTATACCCTTTTGGTGTAAGAGTGTGGGGATGTCCATTCGTATATTTGGAGTAAAAGTGTGAATTTTTCTTTGAGTTTTACAAATTTGAATTAAAAAATGAGCGGTGGCGCTGCTTCCAGCTCCAGCTGCTAGGGCGCGCAGCACGCTCCAAATCCACTATGAGAAATCGTGCTTTCAAAATGGTGGTGTATGTTAGATTTTGCAATTGTATTAAGTTGTATTATCTCTTGAATTGGGATTTCATTTCGCTATTGTCGGTATCAAACATGTATGGTCTGTCTTACAGGCGCACCTGACCGGTTAATTTCTCAGAGTGAACTCAGGGCGTGCTGCGCCCCAGCGGCTGGAGCTGATAGCAGCGCCGCCGCTCAGGCCTCATGGTGTGGTGCCTCCATCCATGTGTGCGGAATGGCATTCACACGTAAAAGTGTGTGACATGTGACACGCTATCTCGGGTGTCCGGTATACGTATACAAACATGAAAATAGTCCTTATGGATCAGCCAGTCAGCAAGTGCGTCCGTCATTTTGCTGTTATGAAACTTTCCTTGTTAAGTCGATGCAAGTTCCCTTTGGCGCCTGTTAGGTAGGCAATATCTTGCCGGCAGTGCATGCGTGCTCTGCGGGTCGGCCTACCTCCAGTCTCGCAGGCGCCAAGCTTCAGTGCCGAATGAATTAATCTGAAAAGTGAAGACGTATGTAGTTTCTGAGTGGTCCCTTAGTCGCCTTAGTGTTCCCTTTTTTGACATATGCATGGCTGCTCTCTTTGAGGCACACATACCATTCCTACTTTCTTTAGTGGAGGCGGATGCATTGTATGCATATCTAACAAAGGATATTTCAAATCAACAAAAATATTTTCTTGAAAATAAAATAATTTACAGTGTGCTCTCTACAGCGATAATCTCTTGCCGCTGGAGCTGCTCCGTTGGCCGGACTGGGGGTGTTAAACTTTTGGTGAGGCCACTCCTCTCTCTCTCTCTCTCTCGCTGAGAGTCTGTGAATACCTACCTCACCCCGGGCGTGACGTGGGGCCCGCGGCCCCAGCCAGGTTGGCCCGGCGCCAACTTACCCCCCCCCCCCTCACCTACCCCCCTCATCCCTTGCCCCGGCTCGACCCCTTTTCTCCCTAAAAGCTCCTCGATCATACGCGATTACACACTCAGGACTCTTTATCGTCCAAACTGCTTACTTCAGTTGGATGAAGTCGCGCGTGGCGCTTGATTAGACGACCGTCCTGCGGGGCCCCCTCCCTCCCCCCGGCGGGGGCTGGCGGGGCGCGGGGCGGCCCCTGTAGGGCCCCGCTGTCAGGCCGTGTAGCGTGGCGGCGCGGGGAGCGTTTTCTCCGACCTGGCGCGTCGTTAATTTGACGTCTGGCACGTCATTGCCACGCCCGCCCTGATGAGGCGATTGACATACAAAAGACTAGACATAGTTATGACAATATTTGGACATTGTCTATTTAATGTCCCTTCTTATGAGTTTTTGTAACAATTTTTGGACTAAGACAAAAAAAGACTAGAAAAGACTTTAAGAAGTGACCATAAAGTATGTCTAAGCTGTGTCCCATGAGGAAGTCTTTTCCAGTCCTTGAATGTCCTGGATTTCAGGACATACATCTAGTCCCTTTGTCCACATGCTACACGTCCTTTTTAGTCCCTATATGTCTAGTCCTCTCGGATGGAGAGCGTCATAGTCCTCAAGGACATATGCCTAGTCGAGTCCAGGTATGTCCAGTCCAGGTATGTCTAGTCCCGGTATGTCCAGTCCTGGTATGTCCAGTCATTCAAGACATGAATGACACTTATGTCTTGTTTAGTTCCTGTGTATCCAGTCTTCTAGGGAGAAAGAGCGTCAGCCCATAAGGACATACGTTTTGTCCAGTCCGCGTATGTCCAGACTTGACTTGAAAGACATTTATGTCTTGAAGAAACGCGGACTGGGCAAAACCAGGGGTATGCAAAGGCCGGGTGAGGGGCTAAGCGCGTGAGTGATCAAAATTACAGATCAAGCCGAAAAACATACAATGGACCTTCGTCACAGTTAGGCCTTTCAATACGTATGCGAGTTTCTCCGGTAAGTGGAGTGGTTTTCCCACATTAAGTTGACAAAGTTGCAGTGGCGCAGACCTAACCTCAAACCACTCTTTTGCAAATACTACGTAATAATGACGACTTACCTACCAGGATAAAATTCCAGTACCGATACTTATGAAAGGAGGAAATCCTACTGTACTGGATGCATTGGTTTGTATTGCTAGACACGAAAAATCGGAAAAATCACATTCTGAAGCTAGCCAAGCGGGTCCCGCCGTGCCGGGCCGAGCATCGCCTCAGCCGCTCCCCGAGCCGTTGCATACCCCTGACATAACAACATATGTCCTAATGGACTGACGCTCAATCGTCCGGGAAGACTGGACATACAGGACAAGGACTGGACAGGACTCCACCATGAAATATACCAGTACATAGACATGTAGGCCTACAACACTGACACTGCTGGGATTTAGAATAAGGGCATTGAAAGGACGTGAACATGGACACATAATGACATACCAAAGACATTGTCTAGAGAAGTCTTCGTAAAGACATGGAAAAGTAAGTGCGGCAAGACATACTAGAGACTAACTCAGGACTAGACTGCTTCAAGACATAACAAGTGAGTCCATGCAGACAAACAGAAGACATTTGTAAACGACATAAAGACATTTGTAGACATACAAAAAGGCATCACCAGTCCTGAAGACATGCCAAAGACATTTCAAAGACTGTGTCGATGGACATCAGGACATGAATATGCCATAATATGGACACACAAAAGACACGATGACATTAAAAAGACTTAATGCAGACATAAATTCATGTCCTTCATATGTCAATCGCCTCATCAGGGCGATGGCGCCGACACAACACGTTGAGCAGCATGTATTTTTGAAGCGCGTGCCGGCGGGCATAGCCGCCTTCTTTTGGCGATCACGCTCTCGCTGTCGCCCTCGCTCACCTTCGACGGGTCATGCCGCCGCCACGGCCTCGGCCACGGCTGCCCGCTAGGGTCGCGACGCGAGGGTCGCACCACTGCTCCCGCTGAGGTCGGCTTATTGATAGCCCAGGCGCTGAGCAGACAGCCCTACACGTAATGTTGCCCACGCCTACCCCTCCCCCCCTCCGCCTCTGCCTGCCTCTTGAAGCGAAATTGCCGGAAATGAAATATGAAGCACCTGCCGATATTCGCCTTTTCTTTTTACTGAATCATCATTTGAGATTCACCCGCCGTCTCGCCATTCCTCTCCCAAATCGCACGCCTCTAACCTTACCTCTCTCTTTCTCTCTCACCCTCCCGCGGCCTCCCTTTCTTTCGGGGGCGTCAAGTTGGATCTGATTAAAATAATAAAACGGGCCTGGTAATGAGGTGGTCTCGGAGCGCTCCCTGGCGGCGGCTTGTCGAAGCAGCGCGGGCCGGGCGGGGTAGGGGCGCCTGGAGGGTGGGCGAGAGCGTCCTCCTTATCGCGTGCACTTATCACGTGATTTACAGCTCCCGCTGGCGCCTTCTAAATCATAGGACGGGCGGCATCGGTCTCAGGTAGGTGGCGGCTGGCGGCAGCGGTGGTGGTACTCGCTGCACGCCACTCGAGTAGTCACGACTCAAGCCCACATTTTTAAGAACATCCGCTTCTGCCTCCTTAAAAAAGAAAATGAGGAATGACATTGCTGCTTTCTGATCGAAAATATTTCGAGGCAGTAGCCCCCCTCCCCCCTACCCAGCCCGACTTCCGTCCCCCTCCCCTTTTTCTCAGGGCGTTGCGTCCAGATTAATCATGATGTAATGTGGGTGGCTTATCGCACGGCAAAGTTTCGCACAATAAACACACTCGAGCAGTGTGCCTGCCTTCGCGCCGGCTGCTGTGCTGTGTGCCTACGT